TGAGCTGACACGATGGGTTCGTGGTGTTTACGAGGCCATTCGGCCTTTGGAAAGCTTGTCTATTGAAGGCCTCATCCGAATCTGGGCCCATGAAGCTCTTCGCCTGTTCCAAGATCGATTGGTCGCTGAGCAAGAGCGACAGTGGACTGACGAGGCTGTGCGCCGCATCGCACTCGAATATTTCCCTAACATCGATGAGGAAAAGGCCCTTGGAGGACCTATTCTCTTCTCTAACTGGCTCTCCAAGAACTACGTCCCTGTGGACCGTGAGCAGCTGAGAGACTTCGTCAAGGCGAGACTGAAGACCTTCTGCGAGGAAGAGGTTGATGTTCCTCTAATCCTATTTAATGATGTGTTGGAGCACGTGTTGCGCATCGATCGTGTCTTCCGACAGCCCCAAGGCCATCTCATCTTGATTGGTGTTAGTGGTAGTGGCAAGACAACCTTGTCTCGTTTCGTGGCCTGGATGAACGGTCTAAAGGTTTTCCAGATCAAGGTGCATGGAAAGTATTCCGCCGAGGACTTTGATGACGATCTGCGAGATGTCCTTCGACGATGTGGTTGTAAGGGCGAGAAGATCTGCTTTATCATGGACGAATCAAACGTGTTGGATTCAGGCTTCCTGGAGAGAATGAACACCTTGCTCGCCAACGCCGAAGTTCCAGGCCTTTTCGAGGGTGATGAATATGCTGCCCTCATGACCGCTTGTAAGGAAGGTGCCCAGCGACAAAACCTGCACCTAGACTCCCCCGAGGAGCTGTACAAGTGGTTCACTCAGCAAATCGTCAAGAACCTGCACGTCGTCTTCACAATGAACCCGCCCGAGGATGGTCTATCTTCCAAGGCTGCTACCAGTCCTGCCTTGTTCAATCGTTGTGTTCTCAACTGGTTTGGTGATTGGTCTGATCAAGCCCTCTTCCAAGTTGGCCATGAGCTCACACAGTCCATTGATCTGGACCGAAGCAACTTTAATTGTCCCGATACTGTCCCTGTGGCCTATCGTGGCCTGCAACTGCCTCCTTCTCATCGTGAGACGGTTGTCAACTCGATGGTGTACATTCACTACTCTCTTCAAAGATACAACGAAAAGCTGTTTAAGCAGCAAGGCAAGGTCACCTTCTTAACACCTCGTCACTTCCTCGATTTCGTCGCTCAGTATGTCAAACTCTACAATGAGAAACGAGAGGATCTTGAAGAGCAGCAACGACATCTTAATGTTGGTCTGGAAAAGCTTAGAGACACTGTCGACAAGGTTCGAGATCTTCGAGTAAGCCTGGCCGAGAAGAAAAAGCAGCTGGAACAGAAGGATGCAGAGGCAAACGAAAAGCTACAACGAATGGTGGCCGATCAGCGCGAAGCGGAGCAAAGGAAGAGTACTGCTTTGGAGATTCAGGCTGCTTTGGACAAGCAGGAAATTGAGGTTGCCTCACGAAAGAAGGTTGTGTTGGAGGACCTTGCCAAGGCAGAGCCTGCCGTCGAGGAGGCAAAGGCCAGTGTCAGCAACATCAAGCGTCAGCACTTGACCGAAGTCAGGTCCATGGGTAACCCGCCTCAGGGTGTGAAGCTTGCTATGGATGCTGTGTGTACCTTGCTTGGCCACAAGATCAACGACTGGAAGGCTGTCCAAGGTATTGTTCGAAAGGATGATTTCATTGCCAGTATTCTCATGTTCGACAATGCTAGGCAGATGACCAAATCCTTGAGGAACAAGATGCGCAGTGATTTCTTGTCCAACCCCGAATTCACATTTGAGAAGGTCAATCGTGCGTCCAAGGCATGCGGACCCCTTGTCCAGTGGGTTACCGCTCAGGTCAACTACTTTGACATTCTCGACCGTGTTGGTCCTCTGAAGCACGAGGTTGAGCAGCTGGAGGAGCAAGCACTCCAGACGAAGGCAGAAGCCCAGGCTACTCAGGACGAAATTGCTGGGCTGGAGTCAAGCATTAACCAATACAAGACCGAATATGCTGCACTCATCAGTGAGACACAGTCCATCAAGGCAGAGATGTCAAAAGTTCAGTTCAAGGTCGACCGAAGTGTTCGACTTCTCGACAGTTTGTCGTCAGAACGAGTTCGTTGGGAAGAGGGCAGCAAGTCTTTCGAGATCCAAATTAGCACTCTCGTGGGAGACGTTCTTGTCGCTGCTGCTTTCTTGGCCTACAGTGGTCTCTATGATCAGACTTTCCGAAAGTCGATGATGGATGACTGGTTCCACCAGCTTCACCTTTCCGGTATACACTACAAATCGACAAACCCTGTGACTGAATATCTGTCGACTGCAGATGAGCGTCTTAGCTGGCAGGAGAACACTCTTCCTGTTGATGACCTGTGCACCGAGAACGCCATCATTCTCAAGCGCTTCAACCGTTACCCCCTTATTATTGATCCTTCGGGACGAGTTACGGAATTCTTGCAGAGAGAATGCAAAGACCGCCGTCTAACGGTGACAAGCTTCTTGGACGATACCTTTACTAAGCAGCTTGAGAGTTCTCTCCGTTTCGGTAACCCTATTCTTATTCAGGATGCTGAGCACTTGGATCCTATCCTTAATCATGTTCTCAACAAGGAATACCAAAAGACTGGTGGTCGTGTGCTTATTCAACTTGGCAAGCAGGAGATTGATTTCTCGCCGGCATTCAAGATCTATCTGTCAACTCGTGACCCGTCCGCCACCTTCGCCCCCGACATTTGCAGTCGAACCACGTTCGTCAACTTCACTGTTACACAGAGTAGTCTTCAGACACAATCTCTCAACGACGTCCTCAAGTCCGAGCGTCCCGACGTTGATGAACGACGCTCAAACCTCATCAAACTGCAGGGCGAGTTCAAGGTCCATCTGCGACAACTGGAGAAACGATTACTTCAGGCCCTGAATGAGTCTCGCGGCAATATCCTTGATGATGACAACGTTATCGAGACACTCGAAACTCTCAAGACAGAGGCTGCTGAGATCTCTGGCAAGATGAGCAACACCGAGGGCGTTATGGCCGAAGTTGAGGAGATTACGCAACAGTACAGCATTATCGCCAGATCTTGCAGTGCTGTCTTCGCCGTCTTGGAGCAACTTCACTACCTCAACCACTTCTATCAATTTTCGCTCCAGTACTTCCTTGACATTTTCCATTCAGTCCTGCATGGCAACAAGAATCTGGCTGGCCAAACTGACCACAACATCCGGCGTGATGTAATTGTCAAGGATCTTTTTGTCAACACGTTCAAGCGGACAGCTCTGGGTCTGCTCCAAAGAGACCGAGTTACTCTTGGAATGTTGCTCGCACAGGCCTCGCCGTATAAGATGGACAAGTCTTTGATCGACGTCATCCTCGACAACCGCATTGAAGGCAAGGATCTTTCATCTAATCCTGATGAAAGAGATGATGCTTTCACCCAAGCCAAGAAGATCGCTGTTCTCAAGGAAAGGGTTGATCCTATCTCTACTGAGGACTGGGATAAGTTCTTCACAGAAGAACTTGCTGAGAACTTCGTGCCCTTGGTCTGGGATGACAACACCGATGCTAACGACCAAGCCCTACTCTCTCTCCTGCTCGTCAAACTTTTCAGGATGGACCGGTTTGTTCCTGCCGCAGAGCGTTTCGTCAACCAAGTCTTTGGTTCGGGTATCTTTGACATTGTCGAGGACCTGAAGGAGACAGTCACTCAAGTGTCTGCCACTCTACCGATCTCTTTGGTATCAAGCCCCGGATTCGATGCCAGCTACAAGGTTGACAATTTGGTTGAGAGAATGCGCGTCAAATGTACCAACATCGCCATGGGTTCCAACGAAGGTCTTGCAAGCGCTGACAAGGCAATCAGCCACGCCGCGCAGACAGGCTCATGGGTTTTGGTCAAGAACGTTCACTTGGCTCCTACTTGGTTGCAAAGCTTGGAGAAGCGCATGGAGTCACTCAACCCCCACTCAGACTTCCGACTTTTCTTGTCTATGGAGTCGAGTCTAAAGATTCCAGTCAACTTACTCCGAGCATCTCGTGTACTGATGTACGAGCAACCGGCCGGTGTCAAAGCCAACATGAAGGATTCGATGTCTTCATTGTCTACACGGGCGACCAAGAGTCCTGTGGAAAGGGCACGATTGTACTTGCTCTTGTCCTTTTTGCATGCCGTTGTGCAGGAGAGATTGAGATATGCGCCCAACCTGGGTTGGAAGGGATTTTGGGAGTTTAATGACAGTGACGTAAGTTTCGGTCCCTTTTTCGTTTCTCAGCTTGTCAACTAACATTCAGCAGTACGAATGCTCCGCTTTCATTGTCGATACTTGGGTTGATGTTGCGGCTGGTAACAGAACCAACATTGCCCCTCAAAATATTCCTTGGGAAATGCTCCGTTACATGGTGACCGAAACGTACGGTGGTAAGATTGACGACGAAGGAGACTTCAAACTTCTCTCCCAGCTCGTCACGTCTTTCTTGACTCCTTCTGCATACGAAGTTGACCACAAGCTCGTTGACGGACCTGACGGTGGCCTAACCGTCCCGTCTGGCACCAGCTTCCAAGATTTCAACACATGGATTCACCGCTTGCCCGAGCGTGAGCCACCCACGTATCTCGGCCTCCCTGCAAATGCCGAGAAACTTCTCCTTGGTGGTCTTGGCCGAAGTCTTATCGGCAACCTCCGCAAGGTTACGGAATTGCTCGATGAAGGCGAGCAGTTGGTGACGGGAGTGTGAGGAGGGAAACCCCTAAAGTGGACTTGGAGGACGAATTTTCTTCTTAATTGTTTTGTTAGATGGGGCATCAAGCAAGGCGTGTTGATAAGAGAGCTTGTCAGTTCTACGGAGGATCATTGTTGCTTATACCCATGCATGACATAGATCGGGCCTGCTTGTTTGAATTTGTTTTGTTTATTTATCAAAGATAAATAGTAATTGAGTTCTATAACTCCGTTCTTATACATGCTTTATGACTGGGTAAATGGCTGAAAATGAATGACATGAAGGAATACATGAATGAATGCAGAAAGCTGTCGCTATCTAGACGGGGCACTAGTTATAAAAGTTCATTCGAGAATCAACGCCAAAGTCGGCAAATCCTTGGTGCGGAAGGTTATAGAAGTCCAATTCTGTGACGCTGTCAGGCTGGCTGCCAGGTGGGTGTGGTAGCTGGATTCTGAGTATCTCGGAGACATGTTGGCGAAGTTGGTTCTGGACAAGAGTCTCAAAAGATTTCTCGTCTTCGCCCGGGTTCACCAACTCGTTCATCCAAGCAAACTTGTAGAGAAAGACTATCCAGAGCTTGGGTTCATCAAAGTCGAGGAGTTTACTTGCGCCATCAGCCGCACTTTCAAGCAACTCGCCCTCGTTATCAACATCGCCCGCCGTAATGGTCTCATCACAAATCATCCAAGATAGAGTCACGAGGAGTTCCGAAGGAGTTATGCCAAAGGCGGATTCGCACTGATTGTACCAGTGGGGGGCACAATTTGCCCGTACCAGCTGAACCATGACCCCCCAAAGGGTGCAAAAAACTCGAATATTGTGCCACCAGGATCGCATGTTTGCGCTGGGCTTCACGGGGGAGTCCTGTAAAGCCACAGGGTGGTTAAGTCGGAGTTGTTCCTCGCACCACTCAACACAATGGCGTAGAGGAGAGGGGCGGTTGAGGCTGAGTGTCTTTATGAAAGGTTGTTTCTTGATGAACTCGTGCAAGAGGTGCTCTGTCACGAAGTCTGGGGGATTTGCCTGGTCAAAGCAATCGTCGTAGATCTCGAAAGCATAGTTGAGGAAGAAAAACGTCACAAGATCGATAGAAGAATACTTATGTGTCATTTTTGGAAGTGATCGGTCGCTGGTGAGTAACTTCTCGACATTTTGCGTGACTTGATGGATAAAATTTGACCTGTCCGCGTCTTCTTTATGGCTTCCCACGTACACTTTTAGCATTGACAGAAGAAATGGAGAGTCAGAGTTCCCAGTGGTTAACGCATGTGGCCACTCGCGCGCAAGAAGTTCCTTGGCGCTGCCAGCATTGTCTGGTTTACCAGCAACTCGAGCGCAAGAGACAGCGAGAAACTCTTTAGTTTCTGTGTAAGAATGGCTGCTGTTTGCCACAGATTGGTGGAGATATGAGTATAATTCGGAAGCGTTCGAGTCATCGAGCATAGCAGCGCAGAAGTCAGCGGCAAGCTTGTTCGCTTCTTCGATTGATCCAGTGGACCAGGGATATTGGATAAGAATTTCCGCACAATCTGATGGCTCATCAAAATCAATATCGTCTGACCCAGTGGCCATTAGAGTGTCTTCATCGCGGAGATCCAACAGCGTGTGCTGATCGAAAGTGCGGGGTTCTTGATCGAAGTCGAAATCACCAAAATCGACCGACTCATCGAATGCACCAGGCGATATGGATATGGGTGTTGTTTTCTTGTCGCTAGCATTGTACTTTTTGACTCCCCATTTCTCGAAACGATAGCCATATTGTCGCTTGCTGTTTGAGCAGAGTTATTAGTCAATGACTAAAAAGAATACCGTATGATATCCGGGGGGAATACCTCTGGATGATTTTGTATTTCTTTTCCATGTAGTCCATGACTATATTCAATGTATACTGCTTGTATAAGCCACAGAGAAGAGGTTTGAACCTTTCCCACGTTTCATCATTCATGCGTGTTGTAGGCTTGAGCTGCTTGTCATCAGCTCCTCTCGAGTATGACCTTTCTCTGAACTCCATGGCTTTTGTTTCGTCTATGAAAGATTTGAGATAATGAAGCAAGATGTAGAGTGTTGAGTATAATCAAGAAATGGCTGTAAGCGGCGAAATCGTGCTTCTTTTAAGCGTGGCATTTTGCACTTTGCAGCTTTCGGCTGGACATGATTGAATGTAATTCTACATTGCCTTGGGAAGCGCCTCATTTATACAGTACAGGGTGTACAATGTCGGTGCCTTGAGGCTTGAGGCTTAGTTCAGGTGTGAAATGCCCATATTTTGTAATTTCGAAAAACCCCAAGAACATAGTTGTATCATTGGTTGGCCATGAGGATGATGGCTGTGCATACGCATGCATGCATGTATGCGGTAGACTGGCGAACCAGCAGCTAAAATGACAAGCATACGAATGGATCTTGTAGCACAGCCTCGGCTAGGTCTCAGTCTCTTTTTGGAAAGAAGATGGAAATTCCAATACTTGCTAAACTAGCAAGTGTGATGGCAGCGACCGTTCACTGCGTCGATACGACGTGGTGTAGTATGGTATGTTGGTATGTTTCGCTTTGTCTTTGCGCCTAACGACACCCAACTTGGTCTTGACTGGGCACCCAACACAACAAACACCGCTTTTTGAGGCCCGTCCTGGCATAGACTGGCATCATGACACAATTCGGTAGTTCGTTCTTGGAGCTGCATTGTAGTTGGTCCATTTTCCTTTTTGGCGTGACATGTCCCCAGGATGCGCGTGAGCTTTTGGGCGAGTATGCAGTTGCAGCAACAGCCGAGTTTCTTTCTTAGACATATCGATTCCCAAAACCCCAATTGCCTGTCATCGTTTAAAAGCCTTGTAACCGTCAGCCTGTTGTTCTTGAACACTTTCCAGCCTGTTGTTAGACTTATCCCACCATGCAATCACAATCAGCACTGTACCATCGCAGAACCATGAAGATGGACGATATCTGTAATTCGTGGGTTGAACCTAGCGAGTACCCGCGGATACCCAACGTATACGAACCGGTTGAAGATGGTCAACTTTCCGATTTTTATGAAAACAGAGAAAAGAATGGAGTTGCTGAACGGGACATGAACACTAGGAGCAGCCATAAGTCGTCCTGGGCCATGCATAATATTCATACGAATGGCGATCAAGCCCACAAAGAGCTCGCCGACGACCCGACAAATTACTCGGTTGTCGTGCAACTAGGGAGCAGCTACAGGAGCGACAACTTCACTGTCGGGACCGGTCTAAGAGACTCGACAAAGGACTGGCGATCTTCTACCCATCGCCTAGATTCAGCCGAGAAGAGACGTGCAAGGCGTGAGGCAAGCCTTGAGGAGTGGAAAGACGCAGGCGACAAGCTCTTCTGCCAATCAGGGAGATACCGACCATGATGCGCCTTTGAGTTTTGCAAGTACAGATATGTAGGAGTCAACGGATTGTTTCTGGTAATGAATAGAGAGGAAAGCAGTTGACACTAGATGCGAGCGCATTGACAGGCTGTTTCCATATGGCCTCCAAGTACCTACACATACATGACTTGATTCAATTTTCAATGGCTTGAAACAAAAACAACGCAGGGTCGAGCAGATATCGAGCTTGATGAGGAGGTATCAGGCACTGAAATGCACTGCGTTGTATAAGGACGGAGATGTCAAACAGGGGAACCTGGTTTATACAATTCTGAACAAATCAGTAGTTGTTTTCTAGTGCATCAAACGCAGCAGATACAATATCAAGTATGGAGTTGGTTTCCGATTTGAAATAAGGAAGCCAGCGGGCCACTCGTTGAGAATCTCGATGAGCAGGTGCAGCGTAAAGACTGCAGTTTCTATTCTTTGCATGCATAAAATTAAGAATCATATCCGACGTACAAGTATCGCGACTGCCTCAAGGTAAGTCAGTTACGCAGGCATGTGAGTTGCATTAAAAAACCAGTACTACCTAATACAATACTGCTAGAAATACTAGATCAGCTTTTGTGGGCATATAGCCTAAGAGTGTGCTAATATTTTCGTATGTTCTGTTCTGTTCTGTTCCAAGGCAGGTACGATAGATTCGGTCCAAGCCAAAATGTCCCGTCTCAAACCGATAGTAGTACAGTCATTAGAGTGGAGTGCAGCCTTGGAACCAATGACAAACTTACAAGACGTCTGCAACCATGGAACAGGCCAAACGCAGGTTAATGCAGAACAGGAAGGATGGGACAGAAACAGGACTTACCTCCGGGGATAAAACACTCCTGAATGATCCACTAGCGATGACCTCTTAGGTGAGTATGCACTGTAACTTGCTTTGATTCATGAGAAATACAGATCAAACTCATCAATTATCCAGGTATCATATTTACCTACCTCGATGTCGTAAAAGAAAGGAGTATGGATGTCAATATCTAGAGTATCCATTGTCTCACATACATGCAGTTACATAGACAATTACAATGTACCTCATCTGGCACCACTGTCATTCCCCATTGTATCACACCAGTCTGTTCTCGAATCGTGATGGTCGCCAATTTGAACACCTCAAAACCAATGACAGCCTAATCTCTTTTTAATCCCCGGCAAATTCTAGTTGATCGGTGTTTTAGCGCTCCTCTAGCGAGGTCATCTGGTCAAGCAGGGCAGAGCATCAAAACATGCATCGCTCACTTAGGTTGGGCAAGGCCAGGCAATATTCCCATTCCAACATGGATCACCTTAGGGTGACGACAAGTAATCATGCGCTTCCACCCTCCTTTAGTGGCCCTTCCTGTGGCGCGTAGGTCTTACTGCAAGCAGACAGATACTCACTACCTGCCTTGCTTTGCTTTGCTTTGCTTTGTATTGTTACAGTACTCATAATGCGATTGGTATTTACAATTGGATTAGAAGCTAACCAATCCTTAATGAGTTACAGTGGCATACTGAACATGCTGAGTCAAATTACCCACCTCAGACAGGCACTTTTCTTTTGTCCTCAACACTGAACTTGTTTTGGATCATGGCGTGTGGTGTGACACCCATACCGTCATATATGGTGTGGCTGTTCCGTTCCTGCCCCTCTTTTCCCCGCAGAACTAAGGCAAAGCAATGGAGTGAACCACACCTTCCTTCAGGTAGGTCCTAACTCCCCAGTAGCTCCTTATGTCACTGTACATGTCAGCCGTGATTTAAATACTACTTCTCCTTCTGCCACAATTTCACAGCATCTCCTGATACTCTCTCATTCTTCTTCCTCTTCAACCTTTAACCAGCGACTAGGATTTGACCTCGAGCCATCAATACTTCATCATGGCGAACTGGCAGCAGTGTACGTCGACCCTTTCCCCTGCCCCATCGTGAACTTCAACTAACTTACCCAATAGATAATCCCTTTGGAAAAAGGGACTCTCACTCGAACAATACGATCCTCACCTACAAGATTCTGACCCTTATCACCTGGATCCTGTCCCTTGTCGTTACCGTTTACTATACCCTTCACCGTCCCGACGATGGCCACACTCGAAACCGAAAGATCTGGGAGCAGAACCACATGTACCGCACTGCTTTCACTCTGAACCCAATCATCACCTCCATCTACTGGTATGTATCTTCCCGATGCCCTACGTATGTTTGTTCCTGTGCTAATGGCTTTACTAGGATTGTCCTCTTCATCCTCCAGGCTGGTTACATCGGACATCTTTTCTCGAGCAACTCTGACATCGTTCACGCTGCTGCCAGCGTTGGAAGCCACTTCATCTTCAACAACCTCTTCCACTTCGCCTTTGTCATGCTCTTTGTTCGCTCTCACTTCCACTGGGCTGAGGTTATCCTGATTCTCAACTTCATCAATCTTTCCTCGCTCTACTTCCGCCACAACACCTACCCCCGATTTATCCACACTCCCGTTGTTTCTGGACCTTTGGCCTGGACTTTTGTTGCCATTTACTGGAACGGTGCTCTGATGATTCCGCATCCTCACCACCTTGTCCCTCGTATCTTTGGAAACATCTTCATCTGGTCCATCCTCGCCTATGGACTCTTCTTCATCATGGTTTACAAGGTATGCTCTCTTAACCCGCCCGAGTGGCACAGTACACTAACAACACGTAGGATTACACAATGGGTTTCTCGCTCAGCGTCTTTGCTGCCGCTATTGGAGTTTCCCAATTCCTTCACCAGGTGATTGCCTTCCAGTGGATCTTTGCCTTTATCATTATGGCTCTTCTCTTTATCGCCACTGTCGTCGTTGCTGTCCCTGCTGCAACAGGCAGGGAGGTCAATTGGCGCAGCGCACCTGCTGACCAGGAACGTGCTCCTCTGCTTGCTGAGTAAATGTTAAAACAATTACGAGGGTAGCGGTAACGCCCCTGATCATTAGGCCTATGGCCAACTACTTTCGATTTGCGTTTGGAATCCAAGCAGTTTAGCAGCCATCATGTGTCTTTTGTTCATTATTCTTAGCCGGCCTGTTGTTGCATCATTCAACACCCACGTTGAATGCGGAGTAATGGGCGAATCTGGCGTTGTGGTTTTATCAACATGTTGTTCAGATTGCTACCTAGGTATGAGCTTAGCTGCAATTGAAGGTCTTTTCAAAAGACATGACAAGGTCAAAGGGAATGATGTTTAAATTAAATGCTTGATGACGTAGAAGGTGGAGCTTAATCGATAAGGTGCCGACACTAGCGGCTCAACCAAGAGAAACCAAGATCGCCAGTTACTGATGGTACATCAACCACATAACTAACATTTATCGAGCAGTGCTGATGAAGCCTCTACGGGCATTTCCTTTTCCAATCAACATTGGAAACGATATTTGCCAAATATCACGCATCTATGCGATTCTATCAGGTCCTCGAGCTGCGCGCTTTGTGAACAGAGTTTTATCTCCTCAAGAACTAGCTGTGAATCATGCGCGTATAAATGTCCTCGGCAGTGTGAAGGCGCAAAAGCATGGGCTACAGGATGCTCTGCACAAAGTAAATGAGACTAGCCAACTGCACAAGCAGATTGCTACAAACGACCCCGAGATGTGGAGCTGTGCTGCATTCATGGCTGGAAGGTATCTGGCTCCAAGCATATCACAACATGTCCGTCCGCTTACTCAGCGCCTTGTTTTAGATTCGCGGCAAAGGAGGCTGCCATGAAAGCACATCCGCATCGACGTTTGACGTTTCACGATGTGGTGATTGAGAGACGGCCTGTAGAGGGTCCAACACTGGGCAGCGGACCGCCCATCGCGCGGATTCGCAGTGGCGAGGGAGAGGTGGAGGACACAAGTGCCTTGGTCACGATTAGCCATGACGGTGACTATGCAACGGCTGTGTGCTTAGGTTACGAGCCTGACATTAGCAAACGAGACTGACATGTGTGTATTTGAATCAACACTATGGCTAGTGGGTTGCAGAGAGGTTGCTCCGAAGACTTAGGATATAAGAATAAACAGCCGAAGAAGCATAGTCTATAGCATAAAGGCCTGCTACATCTCTTATTCTTCTACAACTTTTCTGAAATCTTGAGGTATGGTATACACTCAGGACTGTAAGGAGTACCTGGCAGAACTAATATGCCTACCTAAATTCTGGGCAAGACAAAGACGACCCTTGGTTGCAAGGTACAAACACTCTACGGATACTAGAGGGGTGAATAAAGCGGCTGCCTGCACTCTTCCTTTTCACACGGAATCAAAACTAAAAACACCGGGCGAAGCCACGGTACTTATTAGCATCGAGTTCATCAAAAAGCAAAAGGATTTACTCCGGTATACCAGGGACTCGAACCCTGAGCCTTAGTCTTAGGAGGACTACGCGCTACCATTGCGCCAGCACACCTGGTTCACATTTGAATCCTTATTGATTGGCTATGGAATCCTAGGTATTATCAAATAATATATAGTTGATCTTTGTGATGAAATTGTGTGATTAATTACCCTAGTTTGCGAAGAAGCAAATATCCTTCAAATATTTTGATACCAAGATAGATCATATGCCTTCTTACCAAGTATGAGAACATGCAGTCGCACTAGTGCTGCTGGTATGGGTTTGGCAGCTCTCTTCGTCGTTGTAGTTCCGGATCTTGGCAGCTAACAGACTGTGGCTCTCCGTATGCTCAATACCTAGGGTTGGAATCCAATCAAGTATATCCGTTTTGGGTTTTTTGAATATCTGCTTTGCATATTACCGATGATATTCTCTGCCCCACCCGAAAGAGCGAATGCATCCATTTGCAGGATACCTAAGCAGTAACTGTGATTGTACTGATGCTCTATAAGACACATCCAATCATGCTTAGAAGTTGAAAGAGGTGGGCGGACCATCCTACCAAGCAATCCGAAAGCAACTGGGCATACCGTAATTTGAATTGACGTGATAAATCGTCCAATTACGCGATCCGCGTGAACCAATGCCGTTTTCCCCGGAGACTATGTTGGACCTTGAGCCTTGGTCTCAGGCTACAAATCGATGCCTTGAGCCTGTGGTTTTCTGAACATGCTAACAAGCTACTGGGAGATAGCACGGCTATTCTGATGGATGCAGCCACGGTCACTTTTTGGCTGCAATGGAGAGGTGTGCATAAAGAGACAACAGAGGAGGTAACGAGTAGGCAGCGGGCCGAAACCGGCAGACCGGTCAGCAAGAGAATGAAGCGGTCAAAGAACATCAACGACTGATGTACGAATAGTTTAGGCGTCAATACGTCTGCCATGCTTCCATGTCTAGGTTTTTGATGTCTCTTCATGGCCCCTGCTTTCAGCTGGGAGAAGAGAGCTCGACGACGTCTATTGGAACCCCCACGGGTAGGCCGGCGTCCAGGTCCGTCGCCCACTGGAAACAGTGGAGGTGAACCCGCTAGGCAGTTAACGTTCAGCACTAAACCGCCGGTTACTGTAAGTTGCCAATTCCGCCCCGATGTTCGGGCGAGGTTGCTCCACTTGCCCACTCGTCCCCAGCCATTCAATGATCATGACTTCAAAATGATAAGGCAGGTACGGTAAGGTGCAGGTACAGGCTGGGTTGAACTTGCTTAGCACTTACCCAGACTCAGGTGGTTAGTCTGTTACTTCTTGATTCCTTCACTGTCCTCTATTCATCCTTCCTTCATCATTTCTGTTGCGTTTGTGATATTGACATCAACTTCAAATTGGATAACATCATACACTCACTATCTACTAGACCATGTCCACGTTCTGTTCTGCTTTGCATCTCTCATCTTAGATTCTTCATGTCCATGTCGCCATCATGGATCTCATGATACACCGCTTTGGCGGGCATGAATTCTCTCCCTATGATCAAAACCAATCCATGTCATTACCACAGTCGTCTTATTTCACCGGGTATGTGAAGCTCAAAACGGCTGAGGGATCGTACTGACGTCCGCAGCATTTACCAAAATGCCATGTCCTTATCCCAAGTACCGTGGATACATCAGGTGTCACGCTCTGCCCAGTCTGGGATACCACAGGCCGTAGTGCTCTCCCTGTCTCTTATGCAACTCATCTACAACTTAGATCGAATTCGTCGACAAGAGTCCAATTATCGCTCTAAAGCCGCCAAAATCCGTTGGCCGTATGAAATTGTTTCACAAGTGGCAAGGCTCACTGCCTTAGTATTCGTTACACTTGCTTATACCCAGGACAAAATACATTGGATTAACATAATCTCCATTGCATACGCCTTCATCCTTGGACTTCTACGCCTCTTCAACCATCTTCAATGGCGCCATGTATTACTGCATCAAATCAACTTTGTGCTCCCAGCTACCTTGGTCATTCTCGTCTCTGGCCGTATGCTACCGTGTATTCAGGTTGGCACTGTGTGTCTTCACGACACAAGCACTTTAGGGAGCGTTATCGCCATTGCAGCGGCTTCTGCCATTGCAGTCATCACACCAAGAGAATGGACCCCTTTTCAGAACGAGCTCAACATTCCTGGTTATGACCAGAATGAACCGGCTCCTGAGGAAACTTGCAGCTGGTTCACTTACTACTGCACATATGACTGGCTAACGCCAGTCATTTGGAAGGGGGCCAAGAGGAAACTCGGCATGGCTGATATCCCAAAGATAGCATGGTATGACGAGCCTATGTACCTCCTTCGCCGTGTCCAAGAAGCCCGCTCGATTTCTAAAAAGACTCTCTTCACAGTCCTTCGCTTCCAGAGGCGCGAGTTGATTCTCATGTCATTCTGGGTTGCCACATCGTACACGGTAGAGAACATAGCTGCATATGCCATGTTTAAGCTCCTTGAATATCTTGCTAACCCAGAGGGCGCCATCTATAAGCCATGGCTTTGGCTGTTCCTCATGTTCATTGGCCCATTATCGCGTTCTATTGCCTTCCAGCAGTATATCTTTACATCCACCAGACTCGTGGTTCGTATTAAATCTGCCTTTACCCAGGAGCTGTATTATACTGCCTTGGCTTCAATGGAGATGGAAGAGGATCCTTTCGAGCTACAGTCATCAGGCACGAAACCTAGAGACACAAGCGGGCAAACGAGCACCAAAAGTACATCCGCTGGACGTCTGGCTAATCTCATGGCTTCCGATATAGATGCCATCTACAAATCTAGAGATATCATTCAGGCAACTGTCGGCACTCCTGTTGGCACCCTGATATCCATTGTCGGCATGTACAGGATGATGGGCTGGGCATCTTTGGTGGGGAATGCTATTTTATTCTTGGCTACCCCTCTTTCCATCTGGCTTGGACGTTTGATGTTTTATTCTCAGCGTCGGGTTAGAAAGGCTCAGGACTCCCGTATGTCACTAGTGACAGAATATCTTGCCTCTCTCCGCGCGATCAAGTATTTTGCATGGGAGGATCCCATCACAGAAAAGATCATCGGCGCACGCTCGGCCGAACAAAAGGAACTCTGGAGGACTTCACTGATTCAAGCTTCTCTGAATCAAGTTATGCAAATCGTTCCTTATTTATCTCTCCTTGTAATGTTTGGCCTACATGTCGGCCTCTCAAAGCGCCGACTCGATGCCGCGACCGCTTTCACAACTATCTTTCTTGTCAAGAACGTTCGTCGAAACATAATGCAAGCTAGTGCCTTTGGCAGGAATTTTGCGAGCGCTCTGGTTTCGGTAGCCCGACTTGATAGATACTTTGCGAGTACTGTCCCCATCCCACAGTATCCTGTAGGACCGCTTAGCATTGACGGTGCCTCGTTCCGCAAGACAAAGGCTGCCATTTTCATATTGAACGACATTACCTTGCACTTTGCTCAAGGAGGTCTCAATGTGATTGGAGGTTCAAGCGGCAGTGGAAAAACCACTCTCTTGTTATCTATCCTTGGTGAAACGTATTTGGAAAGTGGATCTGTGATCAGGCCAGACGACGTGGCATACGCCTCTCAGTCAGCCTGGTTACAGAACGATAGTATCCAAGCTAATATTCTCTTTGGCAGTCCAATGGAAAAGTTACGTTATGACAGGGTCATTGAAGCATGCTGTCTTTGGGAAGACTTCAAGGAGCTGCCAGCTAGGGATATGACCGTTGTAGGTGAAAACGGAACTTCTCTATCCGGTGGTCAAAGAGCTAGGGTTGCCCTCGCCAGAGCTTTATATTCCAAATCGCCGCTACTATTACTCGATGACATTTTTGCTGCACTCGACGCAAAGACGGCTGCTGGTGTTTGGAAACACTGCTTCTGTAGCGATCTTCTGAGGGGGAGAACAACTGTGCTCGTGACCAACCTCCCCTGGATTGCTGAGCAAGCCGATCTCTCTGTTATGTTGGAGAAGGGACAGGTAGAGTCTGCCTTGCCCCAAATCGGTGTTGTTCGCAAGCCAATTGCCATTGCCCGAGTTCTCGGGGGCGACGCAGATGAGGATGAAGTACACGATGATGCAATGCAAGAGATTCAACCCCATGGCGATGATTTGAACGATATAAACAAAATCCTTGAAGAAAAGTACCACAGGGATATTGTTAGCCAGGAAATGAAGGCATCTGGGAAGGTTGGCCGCCTGACTTGTAAGCACCCCCTTGTCATTTTTGAAGTTTTACTAAATTCGACACCAGTTTTGCAATACATGAACTACTTCGGTCATCCCGTGTTCGTCATCACCTGTCTTGGACTTCTTCTCGCTACAAATATCTTCACCTTCCTGTCCGCTTTGTGGCTTTCTGTCTGGGTTGAGGCTTACAATCACCAAGCGCATGTCGATATCCCATATTACATGGGAATCTTTGCCGGGCTAACGTTGCTTGAAATCGGTAGCTACTGTTTAGCCATCATAATGTTTGAGTGGGGAGCCTGGAACGCTGCGAGAAAGCTACACAACGACTTCATTCGTGCCATTATGCGCGTCTCATTGTCGTGGTTTAAACATATCCCTATTGGGCGCATCACCAAT